AAAAGTTTGGCCATGTTGAAAAGGATTTTTGGCACAAGAAACGGGAGCAAGCAAATTTTTTTGAAAAACATGAGGAAGAAAGGGAAGAAAATCTTTTCTTTGCTTCTAAATCTGATGCTTCAACTAAAAGCAATGACTGGTATGTTGATAGTGGTTGTAGTAATCACATGACTGGAGATGAAAAGGCTTTCCTCTCAATTAATAATAGCATCACTACTAAAGTGAAGATGGGGAATGGAGCCTTAGTTGATGCGAAAGGTAAAGGTACTATTTCGATCAACATGAAATGATGCGGTAAGCAAATTCATGATGTTCTTTATGTTTCTGACTTGGAAGAAAATTTGCTTAATGTTGGTCAACTCATGGAAAATGGTTATTCTCTTGTGTTTAGAGATAATTATTGCAAGATTTATGATAAAATTGAGCCAAATCAAGTCATTGTTGAAGTAAAGATGATAAAAAGAAACTTCCCTTTGCAATTTCATTATAATGCATTAAAAAAAGAAATTGTAGATGATTCATGGATTTGGCACAAAAGATTTTGCCACTTCAATTTTCATGGTTTACATACTGAGGTGGATACATGTGAAAGTTGTATAATGGGAAAGCAACACAGGAAGTCTTTTCCAAAAGGGGTGTCTTGGAGAGCAAGTGTATTTTTGAAACTAATTCATACCGACATTTGTGGACCAATGAAGACTCCATCTCTTGGAAGTCAAAGGTATTTTCTAAGATTTATTGATGATTTCTCACGAATGACTTGGGTTTATTTCTTGAAAGAAAAGTCAGAAGCATTTGCTACATTCAAGATATTTAAAGTACTTGTTGAGAAGCAAAGGTTGCAGCATCAAAACCATTCGCAATGATCGAGGAGTTGAGTACACTAGTAAAAAATTTGAAGAATATTGCAAAAATGAAGGCATTAAGAAGCAACTTACAGCAGGGTATACTCCTCAACAAAATGGTGTATCTGAAAGAAGAAATAGAACAATTGTTGAGTTGGCCAGAACTATGATGAATGAGAAAGGGCTGCCAAAATATTTTTTGGCAGAAGCAGTGCATACAGCAGTTCACATCCTTAACAGGTGTCCAACAAAGGCACTAAAGGACAAGACACCAGTTGAAGCTTCGAGTGGAATTAAACCCTCTGTAAGTCATTTTAAAATTTTTGGGTGTATTTTTATGCTCATGTACCTGCTGAGAAAAGAACAAAATTGGATGAAAAAAGTCATAAATGTGTCTTTCTTGGTTATAGTGATGTTACAAAAGGATATAGGTTTCTCGATGTCAAAACTAACAAACTTGTTGTTAGTAGAGATGTCATTTTTGATGAAAAAACAACATGGAACTGGGAGGATAAAAAGATAGAGAATAGTGCTATCATATCTTCAAATCAAGAAGATGATGATAAAGATGAAGATGTCTCTCAAGGGGGAGAAATCTCAGATTCAGATAATGAAGAACCGCCTCCAAGAGGAACAAAAATGTTGAGTGACATTTATAAAAGATGTAATTTTGCCGGTGTTGAGCCAAAAAATTATGAAGAAGCAATAAAACATGATGTTTGGAAGAAAGTCATGGAAGAAGAAATTCGAATGATCGAAAAAAATAATAATACTTGGGAGCTTGTGGCTATTCATAGAGAAAGAGAAGTTGTATGTCTAAAATGGATTTACAAAATCAAACTCAATCAGGAAGGAGATATTCAAAATCAAGAAAGGTTGGTTGCTAGAGGCTTCACGCAAAAACCAGGTTATTGATTTTTATGAAACTTTCTCTCCAGTTGCTCGTCTTGAGACAATTAGAACTGTAATTGTTGTTGTTGCACAAAAGAAATGGAAGATATTTCAACCTGATGTTAAATCAACATTTCAGAATGGAAAACTTGATGAAGAGATTTATGTTGAGCAACCTCACGGATTTTTTGTTCAAGGGGGAGAAGAAAAGGTGTATAGACTTAAAAAAGCTCTTCACGGGCTGAAGCAAGCTCCAAGAGCCTGGTACAATGAAATTGATACATACTTTCTAAAAAATAATTTTCAAAGAAGTAACAGTGAAGCCACTTTGTATGTGAAGAAAGAACATGACAGCATTATCATTGTTTTTCTCTATGTAGATGATTTGCTCTTTACAGGAAATGATGTAAAGATGATGCAAAATTTCAAACAAGATATGATGCAAGCTTATGAAATGAGTGATCTTAGATTGCTAAATTATTTCTTGGGCATCGAAGTTTCTCAAGTTAAAGAAGGAATTTTCATTTCTCAAAAGAAGTATACTAAAAATATTCTTCAAAAATTCAAAATGGTGGATTGCAGGTCTGTGCCCATACCATTAGCAGCAAATGAGAAGTTTAGAACAAATGATGGAGAAAAGAAAGTTAATAGCTCACTTTTTCGGAGTTTGATTGGAAGTTTGCTATATCTTATTTCAACAAGGCTAGATATTATGTTTGCTGCTAGTTTATTATCTAGATTCATGCAAGAACCAAGCCAAGTGCATTTTGGAGATGCAAATCGTGTTCTACGCTACTTGCAAGGAACAATGGATTATGGGATAATGTAAAATTTTGGTGGAAATTTGAACTTGATTGGTTATTCTGATAGTGATTGGGCTAGAAGTATAGATGACATGAAGAGTACTTCTGGTTATGCTTTCTTATTTGCATCAAGCATTTGTTCTTGGTTATCAAAAAAGCAAAGTGTTGTTGCTCAATCCACTGCCGAAGCAGATTATGTTTCAACATCCAAGGCTACTTCTCAAGCTATTTGGCTTAGGAGAATATTTGCAGACATTTGTGAAAAACAAAAAAAAGGGACTGTTCTGTATTGTGATAACAAATCAGCAATTGCAATTGTCAAGAATCCATTCAGCAATGAAAGATCAAAGCATATTTCCATCAAGTATCATTTTATCCGAGAAGCACAAGAGAAAGGCGAAATTCAGTTACATTATTGTCAGACAGGAGAACAACTTGCTGGCATCTTCACCAAAGCACTTCGTAGAGAAAAATTTTGCTATCTTCGAGAACGCATTGGAGTTATCAAGCAAATGCATTAAGGGGGACTGTTGGAATTAATGCATCAATGCTTAGTCTTCCAAAGTTGTCTCTTAGTTTTTCAAGAAGTCTTTTTAGGATTTCGTAGTACATGTATCTAGTAAATTGTGATACATGTATTTAATTATTTGTGCAAGACTTTTTGTTTTCTATTTTGAGTAGTATAAATAGTGATGTAGTTGATGATTGTAATAATCTCAAGTGGCCTCAAGTAGCCTATAATAAACTTGAGCTTTCTATAAAGATACTATTTTCCTTCCATATTTCCTACAGGTAAATCCTATCCCAATAGTTAATTATGCTTGTGTACTGTCCGTTTTTATAGACAATATATCCAACCAAATTGCTACTAAAATTCATAAGTTTTAGAGGCAATTGAAATAGTTGTTAAATCAAATTTGAAATGATTAATCATGCTCATGTAGTGTCTATTTTTATAACTGGTAAATTCAATAATATTGCCGCTAAAAGTTCATATCTTTAACAACAAAAGTTTGATGACAATTATATAGGCTATAATATAGTTTTGAAAACATCTTAATTTCCCCCAGGTCATACAATATCCTTTTGTAAGCCACCATTAATAATGACTACATCCTACATTAAAATTATCAAATTCGCAATTTGACTTTGAAGTTTATAACTAGTAAATTCAATACTATTGTAAACAAAAGAGAGACTATTAGAGCCAACAATGTATGCTAAATACATAAAAGTATATTTATAATTCATAAAAAAATATATGTCATCAAATCTGAACAAAAGAAATATTAATCAAAACTATAGTAGCAAAACTTTAAAACTAATATGATATTATTTGAACAAAATAACTAGTATCATTGAATAGACCAATCCTAGAATTTCTTAACCTCATTCTCTATGACCTAAAAAAATAATATAAATGTGTAAAAAGATGAAATATAATTAGGAATTATAGCATATAATACAAAAATTTCTCAAAAAGCCACTTGGATCTCTTGTGGGTATTCTAATACAAAGTTTTTTCATGTCTTTATAAAAACATGGCATGCTGAATCAAGATTACTAAACTATTTCATGTCGTTCATGGCCAAAGTTCACTGAATCTATATATAAACCTCAGTTTAAATCATTTGTATTTTGAAAATGACATGTTAGTATTTTATGAAGGTGAACTAGAACTAGTGATGCCCATGTTAAGAGGGCTGAAAAATATTGTCTTTAGCTTTATGCATTGAAATGTAATGTCTCTAATTCAAGTATTTTAGTGTCAATATGAACAGACATGTTATTGAGGACATCTATGAGTTAATACCTTATATGGTCACTCAACTATGCACTCTTCTCTCAGAAAGTCACTAAACTTTCAATTTTCACTCAAAAGTCACTCAACTATGAACTTCTTTCTCAGAAAGTCACTCAACTTTGAATTTTAACTCAAAAGTCACTCAACTATTCACTCTTTCCTCAAAAAGTCACTCAATATATTAAATTATTTTTTAATTAAAAATTATTGATATTAATTATTTATATAACAAACCAAAAATTTTAAAAAATATATTAAACCATTTAGTGATTTATCCACCTAACCCGACTCATTAAAAAATATGATATGACCCATTTTATTTTGTCTTTAATCCTAAATTAATCCCTCTATTTAAACCTTGAATTAGGATTAAAGACAAAATAAAATGGGTCATATCATATTTTTTAATGGGTTGGATTAGGTGGGTGGGTCACTAAATGGTTTAAATGGTATTTTTATTTTTTAAAAATTTTGATTTGTTATATAAATAATTAACATCAATAAATTTTAATTACAAAAATAATTTAATATATTGAGTGACTTTTTGAGGAAAGAGTGAATAGTTGAGTGACATTTGAATTAAAATTCAAAGTTGAGTGACTTTCTGAGAAAGAAGTGCATAGTTGAGTGACTTTTGAGTGATTGAAAGTTGAGCGGCTTTCTGAGAGAAGACTGCATAGTTGAGTGACCATCTGAGGAATTAACTTGGACATCTATGAATTAGACATTAGAAGGACTTTTCATTTTATTAACTAGGACTTCCTTCTTAAAATCTTGAAGGACATAAGGTTTGGAAGCAAATGAATAAGGTGGATTCTATTATTATAATACAGTACAATTAGAGGAAATTTGAAGGGTTAAATCTTGAGAACGCTTGTAAAGTATTGCCTATAATATTTTTGGCTACGCTTGAAGTTTTTAACTTTTGGCAATGATAATATTGACAACACTTCTAAAGTGTACTCTTTAATACTATAGTTACACTTTATAAGCGCTGTTATAATATCAAATAAATGGCAACAATCATTTATATATATGGCCACACTTTTAAAGGTCCTATTGTTATAATTGTAATAACAACACAATACAACTGTGACCTTAAAATTTTACTAAAATATTATATTCCCTCCAATATTTTCAACTCTCCCTACCATTTTATTGGCCAAAAAAAAATTTATTAATAAAATATTTTGTTTCTAATTCTCCAACTATACTCTTATCTCCAAAAACGTCTTTCACTTTACGCTTTCTCGAGCTTCCTCTGAAATTATAGACGAACTGAAGACGAAGAGCTAAAGGTGAAGAATTGATATCACGAACCCGAAGATCGATGAACTGAGCTAAAGGTTATGAACTGAGCTAGAGATTTCTTTGATAGTGAAGATCGAGGAACCGAGATGAAGCTGAATAATTGAAGAAAGACGAACTGAGCTGAAGATGAATAGCTAAAGCTAAAGAAATGAAGGGCGAAAGCTGAAGAACAGAAGATTTGAGCTGAAGATTTCTCCAATATTGGTTTTGTCAAGCGTAATTACCGATTTCCTCAAGCTTAAGATTAAGCAGTGGGTATTCTTTTTTTTTTTTTCATTCTTAAGATTGAACTAAAACTAGTCTTCTTGTCAATTGATTGAATTTTGTTTTACAAGGAAGTGATTGCTTTGGGGTTGTTACAACTTAACTTCCAAAGTAGGAGATGAAATTGTCGTAAATCTCATCGCCATTACCTTGGTTTATTCAGCAGACGAGAAAGAGGGAACTACTACTCGGAAGCCTTTGAATCGGTTAGTATCTATCTTATTTTCCTGCTGGTTTCTTAAAAACATACTTATGATGTTAGTTTCTCACATTGCGCAGAAAGGTTTGGATGATAATGACCTGTGCTTGGAGGGTAATTTTATGGTGGAATTTTTTCATATAAATAAGAACAATTGAATTCTAACTATTTCTTTGTTACTTGAATTCTAAATTTTTTAATCGCTTCACTATTTTGCTTGTTTTATCTTCAATGGATGTAACATTGGGTCCTCGTAATGGATGAAGAAGATAAAAATCTTTTCCTTCTCCGACGAGCATTTGTATAAATGCTCATGTATTTATGACACAACTTGTGCTTGCGAATCTTTTTGAATTTTTTTGTATTTTACCTTATATTTTTGTAATGATATGGTGCTGTCATCGGTGTCCACAACATATGAAATGAATCTTTTAGGGATTAATCTATGATTTTCCTTCAAAGCAACCAGCAAGTGATTCATTGTATCTTTGTAGAGTGTTCCACAAAGTTTTAAGTACCTTCTCTAGCTTGTAACAACACATATAGGGTAACATTCTCTATAATTTTTTCACTTTCCGCATTTATCTTTTATGGGTGCGTCTCTGATTGAATGACCTTTTGTTCTATCCGTAAACTATTATGCTTCTTGATGATCAAATTAATTTTACATGCTGTCCATTATGTTTTTATAAATTCCTAATATATATAACGATGCAAATTCAAATCAATCAGAAATTTCTTTTACTATTTTCTAGGAACTTATTATGTTAAATATCATATCTTGTAAGAAGTCAGTATAGAATGGACTTGCTAGCGAAACTGTAGAGATTATTTTTAATAGAATACCTTTTGCTTAGTAATACACTCTTTAGCTATCCGATAAATTACTGCATTATATTTGTACATTTGAGTTGCTTTGGGTTACAACCTCCTTTCCAATTCATGTATTGGATTAGTTATTGGTAATAAATTTCCTCGGTTCACCTTTGATACATATTTGAGTCCACAAGTAGGTAAATATCCATCTATAATTCCATTTACTCTTTTGTTAGCATATTCTCATTTTAAATCTTTGTTTAAATATATAATAAATGAAGAAGGAAGATTGAGTAAGTAATGTAAGGTAAGTATACTTGAAAACATGTGTTCTCATTTACTAGTTCTATAGAAGAATGAGAACGACAGAATAATTTAGATTGAATCAACACTTACCAAAAAGTTTTCACAAGGAATATGTTACATTTAAATTACAAATTTAAGGGTGTGTTACAAACTGCTATACGTCCATTAGACTAATTTGACATATTACAATAAATTTTAATATAGTAGTAAAGTGGGTATAGAGAAAAGAAACAAACCAACAACACAAATAATAATTACCTGATGTATTCCAGAAAAAGTTGACAAGGGCTCTGTTGCTTGGAAGAGCATGTGGTTGAACCCATCTACAAGTTTGACAGGACATTTGTCCACAATCGTAGTAGTGTGTATAGGGGAAGGATCTGCAAAGGCCAACAAAAGTTTAATTTTGAAAAAAACTAGAACAATGAAGGATCTATGGTGTATTTTAAAGTATTGCAAAACCATCAATGTTTTAGCAGTATTTAGTATATGCTGCTCATAGTTCCTCCTACTATCCAACAAATTCTGGAATCCGGACATTCTGAAAGAATTTACTCATTATAAAAAATCCTCTTATGAAATATTTACAAGAAAAATGGATCTCCAACACAGTATTAGCTCAGGATTCTTGAAACAAGTAAAAAAACAAGAAATTCAAAGGAGCATTTCAAAAAGGATCTTACCATCCATGTTCCGAAGTGCATTCTAAACTGCCTATTGCTTAGCATCCTTACTAGTCTTACCCATTCCAACACCAATTCTCTCACTGATAAAGAAGACCTAAATATTATTCAGGCTAAGAATTCTGAAATATAAAACCTTATGCAGTTTGTCTAAATTCAGATGCCAAAATAATTATGATTTTTCCATGAACAACAATGATAGGAGCAACACTCTCATATAAAAATGAATATTTTCAAAGACAGACATTAACAAACAGTTCACAAGAACATAACAATTTTCAGAGTCAAATATCAAGACATACAGATCCATGAACTTCAAAGTCATTAGCACACTACTTTTCAGTATCTCATCAGTCATTACCTTGCACACTACTTTCAAGTATCTCATGAGACATTACCTTGCACACTACTTCCTAGAATCCCATTGGAATCAAAAGAGGACCACTATTACTATTGGTTGAAACTAATGTTGTTTAACAGAAATTTTTCTTCATATTTATATGACAAACAATGCAATGAATCAATCCCTGCAATAGCTTCGGGAAGGTTAAAAATATTCTTCCATACTTAATTTTCTGACCTCAAGATAAAATTGCAATTCCTTAGCGGTGCTCACCACAGACATGAACTAAATCTAAAATGCAAGACACATTGGATTGGAGCTCTTACAATGACAACCAAAAAAAATCAACAGAGATAATATATTGCTAAAAAGTATGTAGATAACATCTTGATGAATGATATTGGGATATTGACTACCATTACAAGAACACAAACTAGTGTAATTTGTTTACAAGTTATTGAATTGGATATTGGCTTTTTTCATACGCCCAACACATCCATTGCACAAATAATGCAAGCTAAGAAGCTTATCGGAATGTGAACAGTCTTACTGAAAATTAGAAGCTAAATCCTAGGTGTTTCTCGAGAGAGTCAAATATATTTGCAATTAATCTTGTTTTAGGAATTGTTGCTGGAAAAATTAATTATCAGAGGGAAGGCTATTGATACAAGACAAATTTAAGAAAATAACAAGCAGTTTCTTGTAGCCTTCACCGGGATGCATATCCTTTACAATATATCATATAAAAGTGAACAGGAGTATAATAAGAAGGAGAACTATAATTTGTTGTGTTCACCGAATGGTACTGTTAATTTCCCATTGTACTCTGTTTTTTCTCTTGCAAGTTTATTAAAAAGTTTGTTGCCTAACTCTTAATTTTTCATGTAGGTTTTTTTATTTTTTATCAATCCTTTGCATTTATCTTCGATTATGTTCTTTAGCCTTCTTCTGTATAATGAAAACCATAAAAAATTAGGAAATTTGTAGTAATGACCTGACTGATTATTAATTTAATGGGTTCTCCAGTTGCCCTAATTCCTACTAAGTCACCAAGTGCTCAAATACAGGGCGATCGATGAACTCCTTTAACTACTACAGACTCTGAAGGAATGCATCCAAGATGAAAATCACAGTAGATTCGTTTCCAGCATGTAAAACTGATAAGAAGTAGACAAGTTAAAAAGTATTACCTTATTCCCCATTGGAACAAACATTATTGTTCAATTCATTAGATTGATTATCGTGATCTAGAGTATTTGAGTAATTATTGAATATTCATCAATTGTTCAATATATGGTTGGGCATGATCGATGTTTCGTTCATTCATTAACTGATCAACATATTGTCATAGATGTTCACCATTTTGTGGTTGAATTTGTTGACACCCAATTTTGGACCTCCACAATACTAACTAATCATCGAGCTTCTTATATTCCAAATTATTTGAAACTAGGTAAATTTACTGCGCTTCGCGCAATGGTGAACTACCTCAATAATGTATTTACGAACATTTTATAATATAAGTGTTTCTGAGTGGCTACAACCATACAATAAATTGTCGAGAATGTTTTATTCAAAAATGAAATGATTTTTTTTTAAATCTTAAAACCAAAAAGATTTGATTCTAAATTTTTATGTATTTTGTTTTTAATTTATCATTTTATTGTAGTTACTCATCACCATAGTCTTAAGAAGATATATATAATTGTTTCATTGTCTATACTATATTTATATTTTAAAAAATTGTTACAGATATTTTATTCAATAATTGAGATAGTTTTTCTCCTATTAAATACCACTACATATAAAATATAAATATTATACATCTTATATAATTAGTTGTGTACTTGATAATTTAATTAATATTTAAAAGGACATTACTTGGAGTTCAATGAAATAACGTATTTTGCTCAAATAACTTGGATTAAATGATGTCTTGGCAAGTCCCTTATTCAAAATCATTCGCAGTCGATGACACTACTTAGATATCCAAAAGACATATTTTGTTGTTTATCTTTCGATCAATATGTTTAAAACTTTATTTTTTGCGACTTTTATCTAATATCTATAAGGATGTAATTATTTACTTACTATTTCATTATTATGGATTCATCCTACTTTGAGAGTAATTCATTGACTCTAATCAACAATTTGAAAGCAAACTTTTGATTAAGGTTGAGTATACTTATCATCCCACTCTATTCCTTTATTTTTTAAATGTCACTAAACTATTGAATGCCTTGATAAGATAGAAAGTTGAATAATTAAACCTCTAACGTAGTTTGGGATCACCTTAACTATGTCCATTCTTGGACACCCCTTTGTTTATTTAACCATTGAAAGCATTTAAGTCATTTATTTTAAAAGTTAAAGAATTATAATCTACATGACACCAAAAGTCTAATGATTACATAAAACTCTTGATTAACATATTTAAACATAATGAACAAAAGCATAAATATAAACAACAAAGATTAAAACACGTACTCAAAAATAGAAATTCATAACGTAAGCATAAATTAATGATTGTAAAAAATATACCAGGTTCTGTAATAATAAAATAAATGCTTATTTATAAATAACAAAGGTTAGTGTGAATAAATTCTTGTTGTGTCTTATCGAAAATGTCACATGTCTTTGAAAAGTTAGAACCTTTCATAATCGCCACAAATTTTATAAAATAATATTTTAAACCTATCAGAAATTAAAACGAAAACACTATATTATCATTTATTCTTAATAACATAAGCATAAATTAATAATTGTAAAATTACGTACAATGATTTGTAACATAAGCAATGATGGCAGCGAGTCACTCAACATGAATAAATATTCAGTTGTGAAGAAGAAGAAAAGGAGGTTTATAATTTTCATTGTTTTAAATGAGAGGAAAAACCTCAATTTATATACAAGAAGGGACAACACGAATAAATATTTATTGTGTCTTATCGGAAAATGTTAAAACTATTTGGAAAATTTGCAACCCTTTGAAAAGGTCACAACTATTTAGAAAAGTTACAATCCTTAGGAAATGTCACAATTTTTCATTAAAGTTACAACTATTCATTAAAGTTGTAATTTTTTTTTAAAAGTCACAACTTTTAAAAAAAAGTCACAACTCTTCAAAAAGTCGTAGCTCTTTATAAAAGCCAAAAATTTTCATAAAAGCCAAAAAGTTTCATAAAAGTAACAACTCTTAATAAAAGTCACAAATTTTCATGAAAGGAAAAGACTAATTTTGAAAATAAATAAGTTTAAAAGGGAATTCTTGGTTGTGGTGGCGCCACGTAGGCGGACCTAAGATTTTCTTTTATGTATATGATAATGAGTTTTATAAAGTTCAAAATATTTTTCATGTTATTTTTAATCAATCTTATCATTTTTATAATGTTTAGATAATATGTATGTTTGATGTACTTGAATATATAATTAATACATTTTATAAATATTCGAAATTTATCTCAAAAGATTATATTTTGTTTAAATGTTTTATTAATTAGTTTAATTGCATAATAGTTTACATTTTTCGATTAGTTATTTTATAATTAAATCGATTATGTTATTTTGTTAAGATTATTTTTAATCTATGTAAATTGATCTTATTTAGTTATTAGTCAAATCCTTTCAACCCTTTGCAAGAAACCAATCTTAGGCCTTTTGTATCTTTCAGCAGTCCCTGGCAACACCAGACGATCCCAGCCTAACTTAATTTCCCATGTGGCCCATTTATCTCCTTCAACAAAATAGCGCAGCCCATTCCTTTTCACAGTAACAATACAATACTTACGCATACCCATCCTCTTCTTCCTCAATCGCCACCCGACCCAGCCCCTACGTTCTTCTTGTTCAACAAGTGACCATCTTCACTCGCGAACAGCCCAGAATCGCAAGGCTTGACTCGGCAGTGTCTTTTTCTCCCTCTCTCCCTCATCATGTAGGTTGAGAAATCTCCTTCCCTCGCTTGTCCTTTATCCTAGAATCGAATGACTCCCTTCATTGCTCCTTTAACGATTGTACAAATTGGTACAATTGACAGCTCTAAAAACTTATCGGGGTAGAGCAATTTGAATTTCAAAAATTTTAATTTGAAATTCCTTCAACCAGATTTCTCCCCTTTTACAACCCTAATTTTCATCTATAAATAGCTCCTTCTTTCTTCGTTATTTAGTTTGGTCTATCGCTGAAAGAAAATGATAAAAAATTCGGAAAAGTTTGCAGAGAACAAAGAAAGGGTCGGAGAAATACAGAGAAGAGGTTGGCAATTCAAAAATAGAGAAAGAAAAAAACACAACTAAACAACTACAAGGTATATAAGAAATACACTTGAAAGAGAGAGAAAGGAGTTAGTTTCAGTCCTTCTAGCTTGATCACCATTGTTCTTTAAGTTCGTTCAAGTTTTAGATGCTGCCTAGGCTTCTTGTTTCCTGTCTAGCCTGGGTTTTGGTGGTGAAAGATCATTGCCCTCCTTGCTCATCCCGTCCTAGTTCGCTGCCCAGAAAAAGGTATGGTATTTTTCTTCACAATGTTCTTTCCACCTCTTCTTCTATTTCAGAGAATCATTCTAATGATTGAAAATTTTATTTAGCTTAGTTTCTTGTTGCTGTTGTTATTAAGCGGGTATGTGTCACGAACCGACCGCACCCCCAAGTCGTAACTCAATATATTCAACCTCGAAAAGGTCTTATACAAGACCTTATCATTCATTCATCATACATGCATAAAAGTAGTGCGGAACTAAAACATTTCTCAAGTAAGACAACCATTTGAAATATTATTCATAAAAGGATGGAACATTAAGTCTCGATATATTCAACTTAGGCACGTCTCAACATATAGAGACACATCCCTTGTACAATCAAAAGAAAACTATTAGAAGTCTTAGATGAATTAAAAGAAACTTCTAAGATAAGTGTCCTTGAATCATTGTGGACATACCAAAGAATGAAGATAGCAAATCCAATCACTTCAATCTAGGAATGATCCTTTAGTCACCTCAACCTACAAATGATGTAAAAAGATGAAGAAGATGGTGTTAGTACAAATATACACTTAGTATGACCATGCAAAATCATGTTAAAAGGACATTTAGTTGAAGTATATGCTATTCATGCCATTTTGGTAAAAACATCATACGTCAAGTATAAGAGACACATTACAGGTCAATATTCACATATAAGACAATATTAACATCATGAGCATCTTTTTCAAGTGGTCTATTTCATCACCCTTGACCCTCCACTTAAGGTTATCCTAAGAACCACCTCAGGGACACATGCCGAGGCACCCCATGCTAACTCTTCATACCACACCTGGGTGTTCCTTAAGACTATAATAGATAAGGACTTCACCCTTTTCAACTTAAACCAATATTCAACATTTATTTAAGACATTTGGGAAGACATTCATGCATTTATGAGACTTCACATAATAGTCATTAAATATTTCGGGAACTAATTTTAGTATCTTCAAGACCTACTCGTTCCATGTGTAGATAACAACAAATACTACTACCTACACGTTGTAGATCCTATCCAATAATAGGGTTATGCATTAATCGAGATAGACCACACTAGCTAGGTATGAAATTCGGTATCATACGACCGCACACCGTGGAAGGTGTTCTACTTGCCAAGGGTAGAACTAGTACACAACCCATGTAGGCACATAATTTAGGGGATATACAAAGATGTTCATTGGCCTTTTCTTTGGGAAGAGACACCATCTTAACAATATCCACTCGCTAGCCTTAGTTCCTATAGAGTATTTCAGTCACGTGTATGTACCAGAGAGCACATCATCATCAGGTCTATCGACCCATAATTCTACCAAGAAGGGCTCCATGTTAGGTCGACTTATCAAGGTCCATTAAGGATAGCTCAATGACTTTTTTAGAGGAGGTTTCTACCATTCCAGCCCACCATATATTAGTCTATCATTTCACATAAGAAGCATACATCGACAAAAGGTCTACCACTTTAAGGATTTACATTCACTTAGGGATCTACACTCGTAATGAAGGGGAACCATACTTAGGTCTACGATTTCAAGACATAGCCGAGAAGCCTCATTAATCATTCATAGAAAGATTACTCAAGGAAAGGATGCCTAAGCCTACCAAGTCAAGAGATCACATCCAAAAATCTTCAAGCATAAAGGAAAGACACGTAAGTTTCCTAATCAATATATAACATCACATATTCAAACCCTTCACATTATAACATCATCACATATGAGCATTGAGAGGGAATCATACTTTAAATCACAATACAGTAATGTCTTTATCAAGCTAACTTTGAGATTGCATGAACAAATTCGCATTATACCTTCATAAATACATTGACATGATAATACTTCAATTCACCATATAATTCCTTCAAGGCTATGATTACAATACATAAACTATAAGTAAACGCCTCCACTATAAGTGGATTAAACCATATAAGAACACTTTCATTATAACAAGAGGATTAGGTCAACTTACCCTTCATCCAATCAATGACCACCATTACGCAAGTCTCCAACAATTCTTCGTAGGATAGGTATAGATAACAATAGATACCAACAATACAATACAATATAATCACAATTCTAACAATATCCAATCATAATCATAAAACCCACTTTATAAGCCAACTTTTTAGGAATTTAGTGAAATAATGGGTTTATAGAGTTTTTCACCTTAAAATCATAAATTATCAATCATCATAATCATAGTTTATCAATTGAAAATGTATGATGCAAGAACTAATGAGTTTGAGTAAGAATTGAGGGTTTTTACAATATTTGGAAACTTGAAAACTATTTTGAGGTTTACTCTAGGTTGGAACTTTCCCTATATAACGGATCACTATACCTTAAAATTTTAAAGACCACGTTTCAGAATAAAGCACTTCAAATCTCGTCTTCTAGCTTGAAATTGTTCTTGAGCTTCAATGATGTTCTAGAGAGAACACTTTGAGTGAGGGGTTTTGATTTGGAAGAATGAATTCTAAATGGAGGTTTATTTTTTTTGATAGACTTAAAGTGCCCTAGAATACATAAATAAACATACCCATATTTAACCAAACCACGCTTGGCTTGGCCGTGTCTCAAGACAAAACTACAGAGGTTACTTACGAGCCCCACCTTCAGACCGTAGGTGAGGTTACAGACCATCTTGTTCCTCGTGGTATTGATCAAAGACTTCTCCATATGAGTTAAGGATCCCTAGTCTAATATTCACCTACGGATCTCACTTATGCATGTAAGTGGACCTACTTGACATAAGTCTTGTCCATAGGTCACCACTTTTTTGACAGTTTTGGGGTTCAAATTTGGGTCTTCCTCAAGGACCCTTAAGGTGGGCCTTGGGGAGTCCGACCCATATGTTTAAACCCTAAACATTTTTATCTTAATTGGTTCTCTTTTACAAGATTCAGACTCCAAACAACACACCAATCCAATGACAACACACTAGAACACACTAGCACTCAAACGACTAATTTTTGAATGTCATGGATGTCTTTTGACATTTAACTTCAAAAATTACCAACTGACTTCTAAAGTCATTTGTAGTCATTTATACTGGTTTACTAACTCATGAAACACATGTGAGGCACTAGTTCACCCTATTTTGTTTTAGGGTCATTACAATATCCCCCACTAGCGAACATTAAACCTCGAATGACACTTAAAACACATAAAGATAATGACTCAAGAACATCCACCCACAATCATGCATGCAACAATATAATAGACAATCTACAAATCTTGGATAAAACATCAACTTCACATAAAAGACATCAAACAGAACAAGAAGGTAGGAATAACATCGACAAACTCATCATGCATCAAGACTTCTCATTCCTCACTTCATATTGGTGGAACTTCCTTCTCCATATATCAAAACACTCACTTCAACATTATTAAGCACATCATACAAATTTCTCATAAAAGCACAATCATGCAACATTTTCAAGAGCACTTTTTAGCATGTTCAACGTTCCAATTCATGCAACATTTATGAAATTTGTCACATACTCACATCAACATGAGGAACACCACTGTATGAACACTCATTTTCTCTTTTAACAAGAATTCAACTAGAAGATGCATAACATAGGGAGAACATATGAGAACTTATTTTTTTCACACAAGACTCTAACACATGCATAATACTGCTAGAAATATCTAAGTCTCAAGATTGAATAAGATAGAATAAAAAGAGAAAAGAACTTCGAAACTCTCAACGACTTCTCCAAATCAACAAAACATCCCCCACTTGGGTAAAACAAAACTAAGGCTATCATGAACCATACATAAGAATCTCATCACACAAAACATAGAACTATAATTTACCAGCACCTTTTTCTGGATTTGCTTCCTTTTTATCTTAGAGAGAATAGAAAAGAGTCTCCATTTCATTATCAAGATTCGGGCCACTAGTGATGCCTAATTGGCCTCCCTTCCTCTCGCCGCAAAAGTATGACAATCTCTCACCTTGTGGTCATTGTTTACGAATCTCTAGCAACCATTATTAACATAAAGACATTTCCCATTGTGCCTTTTACCACAAGTAGTGCAAGTAAGCTTTAAAAATTGAGAACTACCACATCTCTCTTGGTTAACCTTAGAATCACTAGAATAATCTTGATTTGGAGCTCTCTTTTTTAACATAGATTGAACTTCTTATCTGGTCTATCCCTCGTAACCTCTGTACCCCTCCTCTTAAACTTAGACTCCTCAATGGATTGAACATACACCATAAGCCTAGAAATGTTCATGTCATCATGGAGCATTGTCATATAGCACTCATCCTTCAAAAAGGTGGAAACGCCGATCACATACATACTCATGTCATCTTTAGGAGTAGACACCAAAGATGGACCATATTTATACAAAAAGGTAAACTTCAAAGAATACTCCTCCACACTCATGTTGCCTTATCTAAGTTTTATAAACTCCTCAACCATAACTTCTGTTTTCTCATGGGGAAAGTACTTATGAAGAAATGTTTTCTTAAACTCTTCCCAATCAATAGGACCCACTACAATCGGCATATTGTCTCTCCATGGAGTAAACCAGACTTGAGAAACCTCCTTCAATTGTTAGGAAGCAAACTCTGCCTTCTCCCTAGAAGATAATCCCATAACACTCACTATCTTATGCACACTATCACCCCCAAACTCAAGGGGCACAATTGGCTCCTAATGCCAAATATCAGGACCGAGGTGACCCTACTAAACCATTTTCTACTATAACATGGAAGACACATATAATCAAGAAATAAACAAGTATATATAGGCTTAAAATTAAGACCTTGACTGGCAAGGCCCCTGTTAACAGATTTATAGGATAAAGAACTATTCCCCAGAGTTCATATACATAAATAGCACACTAGAAAAAAAATTCATGATTGGGACATCGAGGCCAACTTGATATTTATACAAAAACTTAAAACATGTATATATCAAGAGATCAAAAAGTTCACAAGCTTCACAGACAAACAAACTAGACTAGCATG